AACCAGGGGGGGGGGGGGGGGAGGGGAGGGGAGGCTTAGTCAGCAACCTTCTGAGCCTCTGCTCTCCTGCCTCTCCCATAGGGATGCATTGGCGGATTTTTTTCTACTTTATTTCCTCCATAGCCCTGGCCTGATCCAGCCCGTTTTTGAACTCAAACTTTATTTTGCCAGTTTCTTCCTCCATACCAAATTTGGTTGTCCTGTTCAGTTTGGAGAGAATTATCATGCCCACAGAATCCTGCTCCCCTTTTACATAATTTCTTTCCAGCAGTAATTTCTGTTGCGTTGTGAAAAATAACAAGGTAAGAAAAGCATGCAGAGCATGGCTTCTGGAATTCTTTCCAGCTACTTTACCAGCAGTGGCCATAGAAGACATCTCTTATTGTCTCCTGTGTAATGAACCAACATATTGTGTGTGTGTACTTGTGTGCATGCATGCACGCTTTTCCCCAGGGAGTAATCAGGGTGTGTGCATGTGTTGCTTATGTCTGTGTGTACATGTACATTTGTAAATGTCTAATCAAAGTGAGTGGTTATGTGTTGTGTGTTTCTGCTTTCCCTTTGTTGCACTTGTGAATTTTTATAGGTAAGTGTGCACTGCGAAGCTCAAAGTAGCGTACATGTTTCATTCCAGGTCACAAAGGGAGCAGTTGACATTATCCAAGCTGCTGCTCAATTGCCTCTACTATGGAGATGCACTGGGACATTTTTTTTCCTGGATTTTTTTTACCATGTAGTCCCCAATCAAATCTGACCCATTTTCAAATCTATTATTTCTTTTACTGGCTTCTCCCAGCACACCAAATTTGGTTCCATTGTATTCTGTTTTCAGAGACTTGTTCTGCTGACAGACAGTTCTGAGATCCTTTACCTAGCACCTTTTTAGCATTCCATTGGGTTGGAAAAAATAAAAACTTCCTTGGTTACTCCAACACTTCCTTCAATTATAATACTCAGAACCTGGTTGATACTATCTCTAACTATCCACCTGTAAATTGAAATCATGGATTTCTTTTCTAGTGAAATAACTAATTTCCCCAAAATAGAATCTGTCATGACACAAATTCATGAAATCCTTTAACATCTATCTCAAATATTTATCTCATCAAAAAAACTCCATGCAAATATGCACATATTGCAGAAAGCTGTGAATGGAAACATGTGTTATGAAAGCTGCATACAAGATACAATGTGTACAAAATGCATACATCAAGAAATGTATGTTTTCCTTGCAACTGTTTCTTGCAATATTTTAAAAATACAAAATGATGCAGAACTTTGATGAAATAGAACAATAAATGAATGCAGTGATTCCGACCAAAGACAGGCTGATCTGTACATCCCTATCTTCATTCTATCCAGAATTAGTTCAAAACCCAAGGAATTCTGAATTCCAAAATCTGTTTATGAATTTCTGATATTTAGTATCTTTCCCAAATTGCATATAACTATGACAGTATCTTTTTTTCTGTTCGGTCCCCATGATGTTATCTTCATCACATCACCACAAGTGAGACAGCAAAAGTCATGATTAGCTGTACTGGTATTAAAGTAATACTTTCTCTCATGTTCATCTACACTCCAACAGCAACCTCAATGTGTGTGGAATCTTTAGGGTTTGTCACCCATTACATGAAGTCAGGTGACTGCAATGAACAGAAGCAGTTGAAGTACAATAGGGACTGGCAATAGGGAAGGCAAATTTCATGGCAATGTTGTTTTCTGCTTACCCAAGGATGGATGAATGGCTCTTTTAGCAGTGAGGAAAGGCACTAAATTACTTCACATTGTAATATCAGGACCACAGTATGAAAAAAGTGGAGATAACTGTACCAGAATAATTCAGTGTTTTCTTTGATTCATCTGGGATGGCTGGATAAGCAACCAGGAAATGAGCTTTTTTCCCAATTTCTCGAGGCCTAGATTTGCGTACAAGGAACTTCTTGATAACAGCAGGTTTCTCTTTCTCTTCTTGAGGACGATTTTCAGTCCGGACCTACCATAAGAAATACATTCTCAATAAAACAATATTTACAATGGTTCTACTGTCACTATTCTCATTATACTACCAATAATAGGTGCCACAGAATTTATCCAAAAGATAGGATGAAGTTTGACTTGTGTGCTTCTGTCCTTTTTCATGCAAAATGATACATTCCTTTTTCTTCTATGTCAAAATCTAGTTATCCACACACTTTCCAGGGTTCCCTTGTTCCTCTTGTAATATTTCTGACTTCCACCATGCCTCAGGCACCCCTTTTCCTGGCATGAATACATTCAATTATGTACATAATGCCCTATTATCATTGAAGGCTTTTAGTATAAATTAGGATAACAGTATTTATTGCACATAGCGTGTACATAAATAATTATTTCCCAGGATGCCACCCATTGGTAAGTAGCTGCCTCACAATGAAGGTGCTATGTTTCCCATAAGATTAAAAAAAAGTCTGAAATATTATAACAATGTGACACAGATAAAGGCCATTTCCATGTAGTCACCTACAGCATCTTCTAGTGTCACATTGCCATTATTGGGATTAAAAAAAAAAGGCTGTCCCCTTTATTGTTCCATTGGCACAATGATGGTTGGATGACTCTAGGTGATCCTATAGTCCTTTCTCCACTTGTGCCTAGCCACAAACATGCCCTGGCAACATACTTCTTCTGACATGTTTTGATGACATTGCCTTCATCTTTTTTCCAGTCATGGGAGAGATGGCTTTAGCATAGGTCATACTATATATTGGAAGTTCTTGGATTCTTCTGAGCTTGCCTAATTGGTTCCACTCCTGCCTATAGGGTAAAGCTTGATTGGAGCAGAGCCATGAGAAGAGATGACCATAAACATAAACTGATAACAAGACTGAAATAAGAAACAATGATCCATGATGACTATTTCATATATTCAAGTGATGGAAGATTTTTTTCCCCCAGGGATCGGGGAACAGCAAAATAAATTGGGCACTGTTGAGCTTCAGTGTTTAGTGAACATGGTCTAGCAGCAGATTTCTTGACATTTCACCAGCAACTGTGGCTGGCTTCTTCAGAGGCAAAAGGGTCTGCTATGCAGACTGCAGATGACAGAATCCAGTCTGTCCCAGGCCCCTGAAGACAACAGCCAGCAAAACATTAGGAAATCTTCTGTCTAGAAGACCATGGACACTAAATCCTGAAGCTTAACACTGCCCAACAGATAATGGCCATGAAAGCTACACCAGCAAAAGAAATTACCTGGATTAGGGAAAGAAATTTTATACCTACCTTTGCCAAGTCTTCTAGCTTTATGGCAAGAGCCTGGATTTCATCTCCTTGCAGTACACAGCTCACAGGTTCCGGCTCTTCTTGGACTGGTGAAGAAGGCTGCTCAAATGGTTTTATTTTTTTTTTTTCTGAAAGAAAGCACTAATTTTCTCTCTGCATATTGTGTGTTCACACACACACATACAGAGAGAGAGAGAGACATACACACACACGCAGAGACAGAGAATACACACACATACACATGCAATTAAAAATAATTCAGGAAGCACTCCTCTTGTCAGGTTAGGGTCATAACTGCCAAGTAGGCATGATTGTCATTAGAATTTTGATTATTCCATTATGTAAAAATGTATTGCAAATTCCTCACACTTTGGCATTTTCCCAGTCATATACTGTAGTAATCCCAATATATATGGTGGTTTTAACATGACCACATCATACAGTTTCCACATTTAATTAATTGTATTAATCATACAATTAATTCAATATTATGACAATTATGACAATTATTAAAAATTCAATTATTATTGATAACTTCTGGAGAGATTATGGGGGCCATCCCCAAGGCTTTGGGTGACAATCACACCTCTGCTCTGATTTAGCATAATGTCATGCTTTTTGGTCCAGAGAGGAGCATGAAGTGCTAAATGGTGGTTAGTCAGGGATCACACACACATATACACTCACAAACATCCTTTTCAGGAACAGAGGACAGCAGACCACACAGAAGGGGAGATAGGACTTGCCAAACAATTGTTTTCCAAGTGACCTACACTTGTACTTCAGAAGAGAGGACTCTTTGGAAAAGACCCTGATGCTGGGAAAGATTGAAGGCAAAAGGAGAA